TTTTTTTTTTTTTTTTTTTTCCTTTTTCACTCCTTTTTGTATTGGCGCATGTGGAATTATGCTGTCCGTTTGAGAAGCAACTCGGGTGACCCAAAGGAAAAAATAAAATAAAGTAAACGTGTACATGTAAACATATGTCCGCATGCTGACGCATAGTGATAAGCATACACGAGGAAATAATTAGACACGTGTCTGGTGACAACAGGCGGGTGGGGGAGACACTTTTTTTTTTTTTCCCCCATCTGAGGCTAATCCATTGTCGTATTGTGGGATGCCGCGTTGTGTGGGGGCAGCATACAGATAAAGAGGCTTCTCCCCCCCCCTGTGGTAGAAAAAAACGGCAGTGCGGGTCACTACGGAAGAAGCTTCTTAACACACCAGCAATCCACTCCCACCGCCATGCTGCGCGTGTCCCTCCTCCAAGACGTGGAGAAGCGCGCGCTGCGGCGCCGGAAGGATGGATACACGCAAAAGAGCAACAGACCAACGCAGAATGATAAAGACGAGCTGAACGAAATTATAAATGAGTTGCCAAAGTTGCACGAACGAAACGACAAGGAAGTGATGTCCGCTTTGGTGACGAGTTTCCTCGAGAGGAACCCTAAGAGTATCCTTGCATACGAGCTCTTCAGTAAGTTTTACTTGAAGATAGGGGACTACAAGTCTGCTCTAAACCTACTTTATGCTGCCTTGTACCTGGACCAGAAAAATGATAAGCTGGTGAGCTTGCTCAGGCTGTGTGAGGAGCGCCAGGTGAGAAAGGAGGCAAGGATCCCCAACAAGTACAAGGAGAGGATTTGCTACCAGGAGAGGCGGAAGGAACTGCCCTTGCCATTACCCTTGGCGGGGGGGTTACATTTGAGCGGTGAAGGCAGGGGAGGAAGCAGCCGTGGTAGCGACGTTGAAAGCAGCGGTGATAGCAGTGGTAGAAGCGATGGAAGTGACCTCGCCGGAGAGCGGTCCGCCAGGGGCATCAGGACCCCTCTGCACCCCGTCAAGCAGCTCGTGGTGCTGGCCAAGAGGGACATGGAGCCAGGAGATGTGGTCCTTCAAGTCAAGCCACTAATACTAACCCAGCAAATCTTCTGCGACAGCTACGTCTACCCAACCTGTTACCACTGCCTGAGGGAAAGAAATTTGTCGAGCAAGTGTTACCAATGTCCAGTGAACCCACACACATGCAAATACATTTTTTGCAGCTGGAACTGCTTTGCTAATAATATGAAGGTGCACAAGGAAGAGTGTCCTATCCTTGCTACCATCTGCGCTGCTGCTAAGGAAGCAAACCTAATGCTGCACCTTGTACTTCATATATTTCGTGTGCTGATCAAATTAAGAATTGACAAGGAGTACAAGGACAAGGAGCAACATATTCTACACGACCTCTTCTTGAATAAATCTTTTTATGAAGTTGTTAGAGACAACCAAGTGGAGATATTCAATTCATTTAACACATTAGCTAATAGGATAATATTAGAATTTCCTTCTTCCTTTTACCTTCACTTGAAGCAGAAGGAGCTTGTGGAATTTATGTTAATCGTGTGGCAATACTCCCTCTCCATTAAGTATTACTCTCCGTCTTCAATTATTAAGCAAGCGAACCCTGAAACCACATTCGGTTTAGTGTTCTCTCCTGAAGTCACTAAACTTCATCACAGCTGTGTTCCTACCTGCTCCTTCCACTATGATGAAGGGGGAATTCTAACAGTGAGGTCCATATGTAACATCCCTCAAGGAGGCAAACTGTGCATAAGTATTTTGTCCGACCCCTATCTACCCCTTAGTGTTAGAAAGAGCTTTCGAGGAATGGCTCGTATTTTTAGTTGTGGGTGCATTAGGTGCACCGACTCAACCGAAAATAATTTGCACCTTAGAAGTATGAAGTGCCCAAGGTGCATTATCGGCTATATCTACCCCATGAAGACAGAGGCGCTGATTGAGGCGCTCAATATCGAGGGGGAAGAAGAGGATAGGAAGCGTGGTAAGGGAGATGTCATTAGTGAAGGAAAGGTAGAGGATGGTGCAGAAGGTAGGGTGAAGGAAGTGAGACGCAAATTGGAGGGACAACCAGAACGATGGTTGTGCTCAAACTGCGGGAAGGTGTCCCTCCAGGGGAACAAGAGGTGCGTTCGCCTAGAGAAAAGTATTTACGCCCAGTACGAAGAAGCGGAGATGAAATATATGCAAGGGGACATAATTCAAGCAAAGAAGAAACTTTTACAAATACACAACGAGGTACAGTACCTATTGCACCCGAACCATCACATCCTATTTAATGTATACACGTTACTAGCAGGTTTAATGAGACAAGATCCTAATCGAGCATTGCATGAGTCCCTAATCTTTTTACGTAAAGCAGTAATAGCAGCGGAGAATGTTCTTCCTGTGTGCTCACTGGAAAAAGTTCACCTGTATGCACATCTGGCTCATTACACTTTCAACTATTCGAATCAATGCAAGTTGTACATGAAGACAGGGTATAGTATAGATGCAGAATCTGTGATAGAACCCATTTTTGCATCTATATGGAATTCAGTGGTGATAACAGGATATAATTCAACCCTAACCATCACGCTAATTCAACAGATGAGGACCTATGCCACCTGCTTCAACGTGTACAGTCCCTACAACGAAATACAATTTTGCATTAGCAACAGGGAACAGTTTAGTAAGTTTTATCATCATGTGACACAAAAAAAAAATGAATCGCAAAAGAAAATTAAAAAAATAATGAAGGAGGATCCATTCTACCCAATCTACATGGCATGCCAATGTGATGACCTCGATTATAAAAAAGAAAAATATGTGTCTCACATATTCAAATTGTTTAAAAATATGCAGTACGCTGGTAATGGACTAAATGCACTCTCCATTGCTGCATCGTTCGGCAATGTCAAATTGGTAAAGATGCTTCTAAAGTTAAATTACTCTCCTTTTTATAAAAATGAATTACATATGAATGCTCTTCTGCACATGGCCAGTTCATTCCTTCCATCTGATCATCACAACCATTACTCCAATTACATACCCATTTTGTTAGAAGAAATCGCATCTCAGCATGTTCAGCTCGATCATTTTGAAGATCAATACAGTACCTTATTGCATGGGGGGGGAGACATACCAACAAGTACAGCAGGGGGTGCGAGCATAATGTGTGTGAAAAATGGTTACACCAATTTGTACCAGTGGACAAACGATATGGAGAGACCCTTTCCCTTCGGCGACCTCCTCCAAGATGAGGAATTCACTTATGGACCAGCTAGCTGTAGGGTAGACACAAACCAGAAAATTATTCTCACCATTCTTCTAAAACATTTAGATGCAAAACAAATGTATAAGCGTAGGAAGTACAAGGACAAGCTGCGATTTAATGAAAGCGTTCACCTCGCCTCTGAAGGAAGGCAGCACGAGAGAGACGTGACGCATGCGGCGTATGGAGGGCACAATGAGCACAAGCTGCGGTCTCCCCCTCCACCCCACAGCTACAATGATGCATATGATCACGCCTACAATGGTACGTACAATCACACCCACAATGGTACGTACAATCAC